TCTTTCCTCATTCATGGCAATAACAAAGCAATATTAACCGCCCTGCTGCCACTTTACCGAGCCCCACGTAGTGTTGCTTTGCTCCCCATCTGGTCCGGGAGGCTTGGGAAAACAACCATTGGGGGTGACTCGTGGGGGCGAGGGTGCAGGAACGATTTTTTTTTTTTTTTAGGTTCCATGCAGATAAGGAACTAAACAGCTAGAAAAGCAGCTGGAGACTAGCCTCGTCCCCGTCATCAAGGACCGAGACCATCCGAGGAGCCTCCGGGAGACCTGGCTGCACCTCTAGACTCCGTCTTTGGGATGCACGCGGCGGAGGAGGCACAGCTCGGGACTTGGGGACTTGGGTCCGCTAGGGGACAGCCAGAGAGAGTGTGGAAAGGGGTGGCCCTCCGTACAGGCGTGGGGTTAAGACTCCCGCGGTTCTCAGCTGTTCAGTTACAGAGTGTTGAACATGATCTTGTTCAGCAGGTAGTTCCAAAGTTCAAAATCCTGCAAGAGGTAAGAGATGTGTGCGTGTGCGCGTGTGCGCGCGCGTGTGTGGTGTTTTACATTTTTTCATTTTAGCACTAAATCACAGTGTATACAAGAAAAACACCCTCGGTAGAAGAGAGAACACTCTTAGTGCCGGGTCACACTGGCATCAGCACAGTGAGTACAGCTGAGTCTCCCTGAGGCCTTTCAGACACTGCAAAAAAACAAAAACAAAAACAAAAGCAAAACCCAAACCAAACCAACCAAACAAACAAAAAGCCCCAAAGCATTGGGGAAGGTTTTGGTTAAAATGTAAGAAACTTGTTTGCAATTATTATTATTATTATTATTATTATTATTATTATTGTTAGACTTCCAACCTCCACCCCACCCCACCCACACCCCCACAATACAACAACAAAAACCAAACCAGGAAGGTGTTAGGAAGTGGGCTAAAGATGCAAGGGAAATACAGTGTCTGGTGAGGCACTCATAAAGGTGAACAGACTGAGTTCGGATGCTGCAGGCTGTTACAGCACAGTAGCTCATTCCTGCGAAGGGTTTCTTTATAGTAATCCCTAACTTTGCCCACAGCCTTGCCCCCCCCCATATGCTTGACCATAACCCAACATTTTCTTACGTGGGAGCCCTCAGGCCTCTGCCCTCTCCTTTGCTTGTACTTCATCTGTATATTGAATGAAGGCACCAGACTGATGCGCAGCAACCCCAGCTGCGTGGTTTTCCCTGCCCTGTATTGTCACTTGAGAAAAATGGGATGAAATGCGAAAATTACATTAGACAGATTCACAATCATGGAGTGCATTTCAAAAGCAACAACAGAGATAAAATCTGAGGCTTTAGAAAAATAGATCTGAGGAACATCAAATAAGTCAATTTAGAACATCATGAGCGTGGGGAAGTAGCGCGGCTAATGTAGCTAAATCTCTCTGAAAATGAACATGGAATTACCATCTATTTAGAGATATTTATTAATTTTATCTGAAACCACAAAGCAATACTTCATTTCCTAAATAAATTTCAGCAATGAAAAATGAGCACATGCTGGATGTTAGGGAGTGTCATGATTTGAATACGTTTTGTCTCCTATGAAATGCAGGCTGAAGTTTTCGAGCACCCTTGTGGAGGTGCTGGGAGCCGGGGCCTTTGAGAAGAGTGTTCTGCTCTTCAGGAAAGGATATATCCATCCATCGTTTGGTGAGTTACCATGGAAGTGGCTTCATTTTGAAAATGAGCTCTTTCTGGCTAGCTTGGTGGGTCCCCCATCTGATGCCCCACTACCACCTCATGATGTGGCAAGAAGCTTTTCAGATGCCAGTGTGATGCTCTTAAATTTCCCAACATCCAGAGCTGGGTACTAAATAAACATTTGTTCATTACAAGCCTCTTGGCCTCATGTATTTTGTTATAGCAACAGAAAATGGACTAAGACGTATATCTACATTTTTAAAGCCATGTCAGATTGGGTACAAACTATATAAAACCTGGATGACTGATTAAAATGTCATTCTTAGCAGTTTACACAGAATACCACTTATCATAATATTGTCAAAACAGCATAGCAAATGGAAAGAGTTTTTGTGATAGAAATGCTAAATTTTCAGCACACAACAAAGTAGTGTGCCAGTGGAGGAAATGTATTCATACATTAGATTGATATTTGAAATGCAAATATGCATCAAAGCATGCATGCATATTGCTCTTTTAGATGGCTATTTCTCAGCTCCTTTATAAAATACCAGTAGGGATTTTGGAGAAAGGAAGTGAACAGGAAGGCGAATGGTGGCAGTACATTCTGAAGACCCAGGAGCCAGTTGCCAGGAACTCTGCTGCAGCCTCTGCTGTCTCTAGCTGTGTATGCCACTTGCCTGAAGCCTTGCTGCTCTCGCAGTCTGCATCTCTTTGTCTGTAGCAGGGTAGTTGGATTAGATTACCCTTCCCCACCCAAAATGTACAATCTCAAAGAGATGCCAAAGCATGAACTTTAAAGGAAGAGCATCAGCTATAACTTAGCAAACGTAGAGAATGTTAATGGTTTTTAATATTACAGTGGCCAATAGACTGACTTCTTTTTGTAAACCTCCTCTAAGCATTCTTGTATTTACTAATTCTGATGTAAACAGACCGAGACTTGATAGTAGATGTGGAAACCATCAACATCTTGGGTCTCATTCAGTTCATTTACTGTTGTGTCTGCAGTGATAACATGGAGTGTTTGGTTATGGAGAAGATTAGAGACTTCTACTGACTCTAAAGATCTTGGCTTTCAGAGAGCAGGATGCGGTGATTTCATGGATTCATGACTTTTCATGACTAGATAGATGGGTGATTAAAGCAGCCCACACAACAGGAGGCATGAACAGGACTTTCTCCTTCAGATCTACTTCTAGAGGAAAGACTGTGTAGCCATACAGCATCAGGTCTGAGTTGATTTATTATGGGCTGGGGCACAAAGCAACATCAGGGAGACTATTGGACCTTTGAATATTCTTTCGCCCTTAGAGAAAAGCTCTGATTTTTCTGTTCATTCCTTTACGTTGGATGTGTGCAACTTAAGGTTATGGTTTAAAAGATAGCCTTGTAAGAAACTAGACTGTGCTTAGAATTTCCGAGTCACCCTTTCTTAGCACTCCTAGTGCACTGAGGAAGCCTTTATTGGCAACGGTCCTCTCCTATCATATCACTTATCAGGTCTTAAAGAGGGGACTTCCTCCACCCTCTCTCCTAGCCCATTCTTGAGATTTGTGATGCTGCTGTCTCTCTGTAGGTTTCTGACCTTTTTAAAAAATCTCAACATTACGTTTTTTTTTTTCCCCGCAAGATCTTATCACATTTTCTGTGGTATTCAGATATACCATTTCAATTACTATTACTTAAGATTCAGGTGCTTGTGACACTTTAATTCATTCCTTGATATACAACGATACTTTCTAAATCATTAGGATTCAGTTGGTCCTACCCCCAATTGTTGTAGCATTTGCCAACTTACATGGTTTCCTTAAGTGACTTGTCTCTGGTTTTCCTTCAATTAAAAATTTTCAGCAAACTCATCGAAGCTATCTTAAATTAATATAGTAAGGAGGATTCATGGGGCTTCATTAAGTGTTTTATTATTATTACAGAGTTGCAACTAGAAAGCTTTGAATTATATTCACTTTATAACTTCATTAAGCCATCAAGATTTATTCAGACTAATCAATGCTTCATAAGCAAAAGGTCTTCCTTGCTTTTTTATTTTCTAGGATGGTAAAAATTTATTTCTTGGGCTAATTTAGGTTCTGTTATTTTGATAGGATTTGAAGTAGCTAAACAATGAGGACCAAGGGCCCTTTTAATCTTCCTTTGAAAATTAGAAACACATTTCTATTCGCTATCTTTAGATTCCTCCCCAGGTCTACAAGACTACAAAATAATGTTTGCTCACTCGGAAAATTAATTAGTTATTTCTCAGTGCTTATTGGAACATTGCTTATTGTCTGAGGATAGTTATTACCTATTCATGAATTCTCTACCTTGTGTTACTTCCCTTTTCTTTTTCCTGATCTTTAAAAAATATGGTAAATCTTCCTCAACTTGCTTTTCAAAGGATTATGGAAATTATCTTTAATAGGAAGATTTTTTTCATACTTCTCAAATTGCCTTTACTGTAGAAACACTTACAGAAAACAAATATATGGCTTGTTAGCAAATAGAAGCTGAAGTTTACAAAGACAAACATTTTATGTATAAGATGGAGGTTCAGCCATTAAAGAATAGTTTTGTAATTGTAATGAAACATAAGATTCTAGGAAAGTTTACATTCTGACCCAAATGCAA